GCAGATACTGACTTACTTTTAGTGGAAAAGTCTAGTTACTAGGAATATATTGCTTTGGTCTAGTTTTCATCAAAGCACACCCATTATGCTATGGAAAGATGAATAAAATACTGCACTTATAAAGATCAACATTGCTATAATCTCAATTTACAGGAATACTAAAAACTATTTAGGTAAAACCCAGCAAAAAATTCCTATGAACAAAACACTTGAAAGAAAATATATGTGTTTAACTGTGCAGCTGCAAATTTGACAAACAGGAATTCTTCTAAGCACATACACAGCCAACTGACACACAAAGACATATAGGGTGCATAAATTAGAAGAATGAGGGAAAAATATCCACAATATCTTTTATACTACATAATGTATTGCAACTTATATTCCAAAGAGGAATCCTACAGCAACTTCTTTGTAAGCATTGCAATAGTAGGCATTTATTTCTTCTTAAAGAGAAAATAAAAGGAACAATCTTTATTAATTAAAATAATGAGATGATAGAAAAATCTTCCAAATCAGAATTATAATTAGTAACATGCAGATATTCCCCTCAACACATTTAATGAGACTGAAACTTTTATGAAAATAAAAATTTCTCTTATTTTTCTCTTCCATGCAGCACACTTATCATCTCATTTTCTCTTATCACATTTTGCACACCAACCAGATATTTCAAATTAAATGATCCTTTTACATAATTTTCAGCATTAAAAATGCCACTTTCCCCTTTTACTATACCAGTACTACTAAAGTATTTACTTTATTTGTGAACTAGTATCTCATCTGAATCTTATTCCTCTCCTTAAATCTCTGGGTGAACAATGATCATGACCAGATTCCTGAGGTTGTTGACCCTTTGGGTGAAAAGTAATAAAAAATAAAAGGACTCTCCTGATAACAAAGACCATATAAGGGATAAAATCTGGACTTGGATTTCATAACTTTTACATATAATTTTGCAAAATTGAAAATTGTTTGTCTTGTAAATAATAGTTATGATTTTACTTTTTTTTTTTCTTAAATGTGATGAAGAATTCCTGTTTGTTCTTTAAGATGATGTAATAGGGCCAGCAATCCAGAACAACATCTTCCTTATTTTGCATGTGAGTCAATGGTTTATTTCTATTTTCACTATTAAAAGAGCTACATCAATTTGTAACTCAGGAGGCATCAGCTAAGGTAACACCTCTCTTAGCAGTGAATCTACATTCAGACCTTGGTGACTTTTTGAAAGGAAAGGTTGCTGCAGCCAAGGTTACCTCTATGCATTCCTTGCAAGTAACAAGTATCTGCATTTGGTTTGTTTCTCCATAAAATTTTCAAAATGCTGTCACATATGTACTATGACAAAAACGCATTCTAAAATTTTAATAGCATGTAAATTATTACCAATATGTTATCCTGTTTAATGCAAAGATTGGAGAGTACTGAAGATACTGAAGACAGATGACCAAATACAAATCAAAGAAATGGGGAGAGAAAAGTAATAAAGATCAGTTAGGACAAAGAGTTAACACAATGTCATCTGGACAGATCAGAAATACAGAAAATTAAACATGAATTTTTATTTAATGCAAACATTTGAAACAAAATTACTTGAAACATACTCAGTGAGGGAAAGAATGTTGCTGTCTTAAGAGAGCCACAGGACTTCCCATGTGAAACCAGTAACCACTATGCTGACCACTGTGTCTCCTTGTTTTCTGCTAATTCCTCTCTTGTTAGTAATTCTTTTCTTTTTTGCCATCTTCTCTTAATTGTTTAGGCTTATATAGTCTGTGGGCTCTTGGCTGAAATCTCTATCTTGTTCTTGTGTTTCTCTGGCACCTGGCATGAATGTCAGAGCTGGTTTTCTACACAACTGTGACAATGCACCCAGTAAAAGTTAATTACTACACTGATCATAGCACTGAATTGGACAAGTATTTGTACTAGAACATAATTAACATCCTAGACAAAAGTTATAAAGGCACCATTCGTTTGGGATGCCCATAACAAGCCAGACATATTATAGAATAGAATCATAGTCTTTCTCTTTGTACCCAGTATAAAACCAATTTTTAAACCATCATTGGATTTTGTGTCACTCAAGAAAGAGAAGAGCTAAAATGCACACTCTTTTGTAGGTTTCTCATTGATAAAATTCTACCCAGAATCTAAAAACACTTTGGAAAACAGAAACTGTCCTAAAACTGTAGAGAAGATAGAGCAATACAGAAATAGAACTATAAATAAATATATAAATATTAAATATATTATGGCTTCCTCTTACATAAAATATATCATTACTTCCTCTTTGCTGAAATGAGGGGACTTGATAACAATCCCTGAATATCTTGGGAGTGTAAATTCAAGGCAGGAGAAGAATCACTCAGGATGATAAACAGGGATTTAAACAGCACTAATAGCATTAAAGTAAGAATGAAAAAGTTCAAAGTGCAAATCAGAGAATGTTTTCCATTGATATATTAACAAATAAAGTGTCATAAAAGTGTTGTAG